ACAGGATGCTCAGTTAAACCTGAATTTCAGATAAACAAGAATACTTTTTTGGTATAATCATGGTCCAAATGTTACAAGGGACATACTTAAAATTTAAAAAAAGGTTTGCTGTTTACCTAAAATTGAAACGTATCTGGACATCCTGTATTTTATCCGGTACCCCTAATTCTCAGGCAATTGAGGTCTGTCTCCCCAGGAAGACCACAGATACTGTAAGAAGAGCTATTCTTGTGTCATTTCCTGCTGTATCCCAGTGGTATATTGCAGGGGCTTGAGAAATATTTCTTTAACAAAACAATTAAGTGGAGTATTTTAGAATAGATGGTCCCTCAGGATCTTGTCTGGTCACTATTAGGGGCGGGATGTGATGACTCTTGCCTGTAATCCCAGCATTTTGGGAGGCCAAGGTGGGAGGATCACTTGGGCTCAGGAGTTCAAGATTAGCCTGGACAACACAGTGAGACCTCGTCTCTATTAAAACTTGTAAAATTTTGTATTTTAAAAAAAGAACAAATAAATAAAACTATTAGTTTTGTTTTGTTTTGTTTTGTTTTGTTTTTTTTTAATCCCTGTACTCTGATTCAAAAACTTTCCACATAGGGTCTTGAGCAGTGAAAAGTTTGCAAAAAGAAAAATGAGTGATAAGAACCTAGTCCAACTGTTGTTAAAATCCCAGATACTTTCACCTTGAAAAACAACCAATGGTTAAATGTTACCCTCCCCACCCCCCACAACCCCAAAGTCATTGGTTATTGGTAAAAGGTGGCAAGTACCTGTGTTATCTGGCATGGACGCCTGGTCTGTGTTTCTTTCCTTCTTGAAGACGATATTTCCAAGCTGTAGGACTGATGATACCACCTTCAATATGGCTGAGGTGGGGAGAGAAGAGCAGAGCAGACACAAAGGTCAATGCCAAGGTACCCTGGAGTTTTGGAGCCTAAAGCCACTGGGGACCCAGAGCCAGCCTACATCTTTCCTCTGAAGAAACTAAATTCTGAGCTCAATATTTTCATATGGTTGCTTAAAACCTTGCATTACAATGGAATACCACACAGCAGGGACTGGCAAATTATAGCCCATGGACCAAATCTGGCCCACTGTTTACTATTATAAATAAAGTATTATTGGAACACAGCTATACTCATTCATTTACCTACTGTTTATAACTATTTGCATGCTACAATGGCAGAGTTAAAGAGTTGCAACAGAGATCGTCTGGCCTACAAAGGCTAAAGAATTTACTATCTGACCCTTCACAGAAAATGCGTTAGCAACCCCTGCCACAGAACAGTGAGAATGAATGAGTTACAACTACCAAAAAACAAAACTGATGTCTTGGGGCCAGCATAGTGACTCATGCTTGCGACCCCAGCACTTTGGGAGGCTGAGGTGGGAGAACTGTTTGAGGCCAGGAGTTTGAGACAGAGAGATCTGTCTCTAAAACAAAAATACCCCTGACATATCCCGTCTCTAAAACAAAAACACCCCTGACATATCTTCCAGACACAAACACTGAACAAAAGAGGACAGATGGAAACAAGAACGTACTGCCTAAGTCCACATATTGACAGTCCGTCCAAGAAGAGGCAAAACTGATCGGTGTTGTTAGAAGTCAGGATATTGATTATCCTTAATTGAGGGAAGCTCTGAGAAGGTGCATGTGGGAGCTTCTGTGGGGCTGGTGGCATTCTCTTATTTAAAATGGATTCTAGTTACACAGACGTGTTCAGTTTATGATAATTCTTTGCACTGCACGCTATGGCATACACAGTTTTCCACATGTAAATCTATATCGGTAAAAGGCTTTTTGAAATAAAAACCCTGTACTTCTTACATACTCTGCTGGGTGTACAAGATGCCCATGTTGGGAGGAAGAAAATATACATTTGTTTTTACTAGTTGTCCGGGTGTCTCCAAACAAAAACGCTGTGTTCCCAAGATACTTGGAACCTCTCTGACTCCACACTTAGCACATGTTACTGTTAAAATAGTTTCTATGTCTGAAATCCCCACAAGACCATGAGTTTCTGGAGAGTGGTGGGCCTGCCCTTATCATCTTTGAATTTCCAAAGCCTAGTCCAGGGTCCTGATACATATGGTAGGGAGGGAGAGAGATGGATGGATGGTAGGTGGAAGGTGGATGGATGGATGAATTAATGAATGAATAAATGGATAGAGGATGGGTTCATGGATGAATGGATGGATGAATGGATGGGTAGGTAGATGAATGGGTGAATGATGGATGGATGAGTAGAGGATAGATGGATGAATACAGGATGGATTGATGGATGAATAATGCATGGATAGAGGATAGATGGATGATGGATGGATGGATAGCTGGATGGATAGAGGATGGATGGATAGATGGAATGGACAGAGAATGGATGGATGGACGATGGATAGATGGATAGAGAACTGATGGATGATGGATAATGGATGGAGGAATGGATAGAGGATTGATGGATGGATGATAGATGGATGGATGAATGGATGGATGGACGGATGATAGATGGATGACAGGTGGATGGATGGTAGATGGATGGATGAATAGATGAATGGATAGATGGATGGATGGAGAATGGATGATGATTAACGCACGTTCTTGGCTTAGCTTAACTCAGGTACAAATCACCCAGAGTTCTGGCTTCAAATCAGTCACTGTGTTCCAGGAACGAAGCCTAGAGATCCCAGACTTCTCTGCTTCCTCAGGCCAAACCAGACATCACAAGGCCCATAACAACAGCTATTCTCACACCATGGAGTCCTTGGCCCAGCTCAGCAAAAGGACCCAGCTGCTGACCGCCCTCCCATTTGCTCCCACTCACTAAGGCAGAAAGCCTTCCACCCAAAGTGAATGAAGCTGCTGTTGACAGGACTTGGAAAGACACTTCCTTTTAACCATAACATCTATGAAAGAGGCTTTGTAAACTAGGAAGAGTTGTACTCACAGTTTTAAAAGTGTAAGTTTAAAGTAAAGATTGCTGAAATGCCTGCACAGCCCAGGCGAGCCGGCCAACTCAGGGTTTCTCAATCTTGTCACTGCAGAAATTCGGGGCCAGATAATTCTCTAATGCGGGGAGCTGTCCTGGGCGTCATGGGAAGTTTAGTAGCATCCCTGATCTTGAACCACTAGATGTCAGTGGTGGTTACCCCACCAGAGTTGTGACAACCACAGATGTCGTCAGACACTACTAAATGTCCCCTGGGAGGCAAACTCATCTCTGGAGAGAACCACTGGTCTACATGAACAAAGCCAACTAAGGAGGACTGTGGGGACCCAAGGAGGCCACAAACCCACCTGAAGGGGCCAGCAGCTACTCCGTCATAGCCCAGTATTGCTAGAACTTCTGATTTTTCCAGATCATGGAAAGCCAGAGTTTTTATGTGAAGTCTACCCATGGTTTTTTTTTTTTCTTTTGAGACAGTCTTCCTCTGTCACCCAGGTTGGAGTGCATTGGTGCAATCTCGGCTCAGTGCAACCTCCGCACTTCCTGGGTTCAGAGGAATTCTCCTGCCTCAGCCTCCAGAGTAGCTGGGATTACAGGCATGTGCCACCACACCCGGCCAATTTTTCTATTTTTAGTAGAGATGGGGTTTCACCATGTTGGCCAGACTGGTCTCAAACTCCTGACCTCAAGTGATCCATGTGCCTTGGCCTCCCATAGTGCTGGGATTATAGGCCACAGTGCCCGGCCTACCCATATTTAAACTTTAGGAACCAATTTTTAAAAGTTTTGAAGGTCATAGTGGCAGATCTCTCCTGTGGGTTCAGGAACCAATGGTTTGCACTTTATGGTATAGTTAATGTAATTCCAGAAATGACAAAAGAACGCCACCGCTCCCAGGCCATAAGAGATGAACCTTGGGGGCAGAGTTAGCAGACAGCAAAGAAGTAAACCAGTGAAGAGACACAACACAGCAAGGATGGTGACGGCTGGCAGCATCCTGGTGCACTGGTGAAAGCACACATTCTGCAGTTATACAGTCCTGAGTTCAAATCCCAGCTTCACTTCTTATAAATCTCATCATCTTTGAATTTCCAAAGCCTAGTTCAGAGTCCAGATACACATGGGGAGGGAGGGAGATGGATGGATGGCAGATGGGGGGCGGGTGGACGAATGAATGAATTAATGTATAGAGGATGAGTTCATGGATGAATGGATGGGTGGGTAGATGGATGGATGAATGGATGGATCGGTGATGGATGGATGAGTCGAGGATGGATGGATGAATAGAGGATGGATGGATGGATGAATCATGAATGGATAGAGGATAGAGACTCTACATGCATCTCAATAAGTCCCATGAGCCTCGGTT